GCTGGGCCCGCCCCCCTGCCACTCCCCTCGTGGCTCACGACTCCTCTGGCCCAGCCAACAGAGCAGCCTCCTGCCGCCCACCTCACAGCTCCTCTGGCCCCGGCTGCCAGAGCAGCCACATGCTGCCTGCTACAAAGCTATACAGCTCTGTGTCGGAGGTGGGGTGGGGAGTGGTGGAAATGTTTATAGTGTGCCTGCACAAGCGTGCAGCTTAGAGAGAACATTGGCCCTCACTATCTGAACCTGTAACAGAGTAAAAAATACTAAAATAAATACCATACCGTTGTTTTCTTCATGTTGTCTTTTTTAATTGAAAAGTCTTCTGAATCAATAAGTTGAGTATCAGTAGCTTAAAAAAAGAGAGTAAGATTTAGCAACAAAATAGTGATCACCTCTGTTTTTTCAGCTTCAAGACAAATTCAGGATCTTTACCAAACTAAGGCTCCTAACATGCAAAAACTTATGTACTTAATTTTATGAAGTGTGTAATTGAACTGACTCATCTTTGAGATTAATGGTAGGCTCAGCAGGACTCACCTTTCCTTTATGTATTCCTCATCTTCTCTTTAATAACTTCATTTTTGGAGGCTATGACTGGCTGAGGTCTCATTTTTGCTAAAAGATTTTTATGTATTTACATACATTTAAGCTCATGCATCAGATCAGAGCCTAAACTTGCTCCTTTTATTGTAAATTTGACACTGCCCACATGCATTTACAACTGGAAGTTAAGGATTACACTGCAAGGGTATGTCTACACTGCCACCTTAGTTCGAACTAGGGTGGCTAATGTAGGCATTCGAACTTGCAAATGAAGCCCGGGATTTAAATATACCGGGCTTCATTTGCATGTTCCCGGGCGCTGCCATTTTTAAATGCCCGTAGTTCGAACTACCTGTCTGCGGCTACATGCAGCATGGACTAGGTAGTTCGAATTAAAGCTCCTAATTTGAACTACCGTTAAACAGGGCATTTAAAAATGGCGGCGCCTGGGAACATGCAAATGAAGCCCGGGATATTTAAATCCCAGGCTTCATTTGCAAGTTCGAATGCCTACATTAGCCACCCTAGTTCGAACTAGGGTGGCAGTGTAGACATACCCTAACTAAACAAAATGCAATGGCTTAATACACTGTGAGCAAACCGCTGTTAGGAGTCACTGCCCATGTCTAACATCTTCAGGCATATTCACCATATAAATTTAAGAAACACATCCAATTGCATCTAGTGTGTACCTATTTATTCTTTCTGAGCTGGAATGAAGAAGAGAGTGCACCCCTAGGACTTCAGAGGAGAAGTTACTTTTAAGTTACATTCTGGGGAGTTTGCTCAGCTGTGGAATTCTGTGTATTTATAGGAGTTCTTTACAATTAATTATTTTTTTACTTACAATACCAATATGAAGAAGGGAAGTATTAAACCAATTTTACAAATAGAGGATTAAGACACCGAGATATTAAGGTCTTGTCTGAATGGCAGGGTAATGCATTATGTGATTTCTAAAGTGCAATAACATGCTGTGTATTAAGTGTCCATATAGACCCTGCAAATTCACATTAAAAGATCCTAGTACTCTTTTAAAGCATGAGTGTGGTGTCTACATGGATCTCTTAATGCACAAAACTTTAGTGAGCTTTAGAAATCTCAACCCCACAGAGCAAATTACTCCACCATGTAGACAAATCGTAAGTACTCAGAACCATGCTTAACCAAAAGATTATCCTTGGGGCATGGGGCATGAGGCATTAGTATTTAATATTTTGTCATCAATTATCATACATGAACTTTTATGGAATTTTCACCATGTGAACTTTTACTTCATACCCATACTGTACCCATATACAGTAAAATTCCAATAGTCTGGCATCCAATTGTACGGCACTCCTGATAATCCGGCATCAAAATGGCAAGAGCCTATTGAGTGAGCTTTGGCAAAAAACGAATCACAAGGCAGCAGTGGTTACTGTATTAATAGTTTAAGTGATTGATAGTTTAAGTAATTAACCAGTGCTGCACACTACTGTACATAGTATCCTCTGCTTTCTGTATTCAAAGGCTTTGCAACAATAATGGTGAGTACTATACTGGACATTTAGTCTTTCATTCTATGACTAAATTTATGCATTACAGTATGTACAATAAAAAGGGTAAAAACGGGTTAAAAAACTAAAACATTACAGTATACTGTATACAGTATGTACAATAAAAAGGGTTAAAAACACTTTATATACAGTATATACTGTGTATATATATATAACCATCTTATAGTACCTCATGATAGTCTGTCATATCCGATAAGCCGGCACCACCCAGGACCCAAAGGTTTATCGGAAGTCTACTGTAATTTGCTTTCTTATGTTGCAGGGCACAAAACTCAACTACCACATATTACTCAGAAAAAATATCACTTCCAAAAAGTATCATTAACTGCAGTTTAGGAAGTGTTGACTATCTACTTTGGTATAATTTGTAACTACCTGTGTATTACTTTTGGGTCAAAAATGCTTTTTGGAATAATGTCTCTCACTTAACAGAACACTGCAGTTAGGCCAGATGTGGGCAATAAGGTGTGGGTCACCAAAGTTAGCCCCTGGTGGGCTGCCACTCTATTTACCTGAGCCTCCACTGGATGGGTTCTTGCAGCTCCCATTGGCCACCGATTACCATTCCCAGCCAATGGGAGCTACAGGAAGCAGCTTGGACCAGGACAACCAAACCCTGACCTTGCTTATTAGAATAAGAGAAAGCTGCATCCCAAAAGAAAGATAGATGCACATTTCTAAAATATGTAGTTAAATAAAAGATAAATACTGGAAAAGGTTCTCAGATGAAGTGTACTGGCATATCTCTACTGAAGTCAGTTATCAATTTATCTAGTTAAATATCCAAAACACAATTAGTTGCAATAATGATATCCCTGCAGTCATAACAATTCAAAGTACAATCTGCTAAGATATTCATAAGCAAATCTGGTGTGCTCATGAGCATAGAACATGGTGCTCACGATTCAAGAAGTGGCTCTCTCCTTTCTAACTCACTATTGTACGAGTGGCCCAGCATGGAATGACAATGCATTGAATTGCTGGAAGTGTCTTTCAGATGAGATGTAAAGGGAAGGTTCTAATTAATTGTGTTGCATAAAGACAACACTTTCATCTACTCTCAACCTGAGGCTATTTTTGTATTCATTTATTGGAGCCTCTGACTGCAGCAAAAGAACTCATACATATTTTATGTAAATGAATTGGAAGCATCCATTTATTCCCTTCCCCGTGAAGCAGGTAGATTGGGAAAACAAGTAATTGGCAGAGCCTTGGCTCCACGCTCTCCATGCATCAGACAATGTAACTGAATAGATGTAGGGCAACCATAATTTGTTGTCAGGATAGGAAATTAAAAAAGGAATTGTGCCTCTTTGAAGCACAGTGACTCCCTGAGATACTCCTAAGTGATACATCTTATGCATATATGTTTCTCAGCACAATTCCTGAGGCTTCAAGTTATGTACCATTCCTTACTCAAGCCTATTAAGACACAATCTAGCTCAAGGGTTCTCAATCTTCATTGCACCATGACTTGCTTCTGACAACAAAAATAACTACACAACCTCAGGAAAAGGTACTGAAGCCCGAGTCTGCCAGAACCCAGCTACCCCGGCTGTGGGGACCAAAGCCAGTGCCCAAACTGCCCCAAGCGGGGAGGCAAAAGATAAAGCCCAAGAGCTTCAGCCCTTGGCAAGGGGCCTATAATATGAGCCCTGTCATCCAAGGCTGAAGACCCTGGGCTTTGGCACCAGGAAGTATGGCTCAGGCTTCAGCTTTGGTCCTGGGTGGTGGGGCTCAGGCTTTGGCTTTGGACCCCAACAAGGCTAAGACAGCTCTGCTGACCCCATTAAAAAAACAAGATCACTTCCCACTTTGGGGTCCTGATCCACAGTTTGAGAACCAACGATCTAGCCCTCTTGAGCACTATATGATCATTTTCTACTATTCAAGTTTCATTCTATTTGATTTCACTGGAAGTTTATTCAGGTGTGTGTGTGTGTGTGTGTGTGTGTGTGTGTGTGTGTGTGTGTGTGTGTGTGTGTGTGTGTGTGTGTGTGTGTGTGCGCGCGCGCGCGCACGTACATAAACACGCTGCCTTCCTCCCCCATTTCCTGCATACTAGACAGTGCACTCTCACAGTTATTTCCAAAAACTGGAACATAATCATGAGGGCTATGCCAGTATTTAAACAGTAGGAAATTGATTACATTATTTTATTCACCTTTCTACCATTATTCTCAGTAGTAATAACTAAAATAACTGCCCATTACTTTGTTCTAGTGAAACATGATGGTCATCTTCCTCTCTTGGTCTTTGTGGAAAAGAAAATATTTTTTCAGAGTGTTTCTTCAGTTCAGTTGTACACTCATTTATTCTCTTCTCCAAATCTGAGACCAGGTTGATTTGTAGTGGAGCATTTTCATACAGAGACTTAGAAATAGCATCAAATGAATAGTCATTTCTTAATTTGTTCACCAAAGGACGATCATCATCTAGAAAGGGAAATCTTGGCCAATCATCCTGCAATAATTACATGGCAAAGTAATTACTCTTACGCATAATCAAAAATGTTAAAATGAAATTAAGCATCAATCATATGTGAAATTTACATTTTTGCAATGTATTGCAATTCCAGTAAAAACACACTTTCCCAACTTTTTTATGATCTCTAACTTTGACATCATTATTTAAAGGATTCTAATTTTTTCTTATGTTGAATAGTGCATTCCCATTTGATTACATCACTCAGCAAAAAATAGAAATGGGCCAGAGAAGAGCAGAAAAAAATAATGCTGGGAGAAGGGATTTACACAGGGACTAATTAACATGACTAGGACTTTTTAGTTTGAAAAAGGAGACATCATGCATAGAAACATTATCATGTTTCTAAGAGACAAACAGAGTCTTTTGTAACTTATGTTTTCTGAAAGTATAGTAATGTCTTCCATATGTCGTGGAAACCCATGGAAGCAGAGGCACAGACTAAGGTCCTCAATACAGAAAAGCACTTAAAACTAGTACTTAACTTTAGGCAAGTACCTAATCTCACTGAAGTACTTAAAATTACCATGGAATTAAGTACATTTCTGGGGCAGAGTTTAAAGGCTAAAGAGTACAATCATAATAAATTGATGACAACTATACCAACCCCACAGTGATCTAGTCTGTTAATAGTGTGGTCTCTTTTCATCAGAGTGGATAGCCAAAAATTTGAGGTCTGTAGGCTGTCACATTTGGAAGGAGAAGGTGGTCATAGATTCACCGAATGTTTAACAGGGTAACCAACTATGCAGGATCCAGGTTGGAGACTGATCCAGCCCAGCAGGAGCAGCTCCCAGCCTTCAGGTCTCCCATCTCCAGCCCTGTGCTGGGGCTGACTGCTCCCAGCCCTGCACTGGGGTTGCCACCAGCTCCCAGTCCCCACATGGGGGCTGGGGATGCCATTGGCTCCCAGCCCCTGCTGGAGCAGCCCCTGTCCACAGTGGGCCTGAGCGCTCTGCAGACAGAGGCTGCTCCACAGAAGTAGCCCCTACCTGCAGAGCTCCTGGACTCCCTGCAGACAGAGGCTGCTCTGGATGACAGCAGGCACTGCCCAAGGAGGGACCCCTGCAGGGCTGGAACAGCCCCCCTGCTTGGGGCAAGCAGGAACTGTTCCAGCCTCCACCAGTTACTGGTTAATCAGAACTGGTAAGCAATACCTGGTTAGGGTGATGCTTAAAGGATAACTGATTAATTGGTTAAACTTTCACATCTCTAATTTCCTTCATGCAGTTTTGTATATTTACAAAGAATGTATGAAGTGGTGTCTCTGAATGCAAAAGCAATCAAATATTGTGAAATAGCTTCCTTTGCTCACAGCACTCAGTTTTCATCCTGACCCCAAAACCTTGTCCAGGTTTCTTCCAAGATCAACCACTGTGCTTTCATCAGTTCCTTCAAGATGCCTTTGCCTCAATTTTTCCCTGGTTTTTGTCTGTTCTGCCTCCCACCACCGTACCCCAAAATAATATTCAAAAAATTCCTGAGTGAGTTCACATACTTATTTTCTCTTCATTGGAGATCTATCCTTACAGTTATGTTATATGAGGGGTGAAATCATACCTGGCAATCTCAAATGAGGTTTTAACTCAACTCATAAGAGGTTTCACTATGAAGATAGGAAGTTTCAGATAAAAACTAGTTATCCCATGTAACAAACAGATATAGGTCTATTGCAGTGCTCTCTCTCTCCCCAAACATCTCCAAATAAGAATGGATGATTGGCTGAAGCATAATTAGTAATCAGTCTTAATATGGAATGTTTTGGTGATATATAGTTTATAGGAAAATCTCCCCCTACCAGCTTATCAATGCAAGACAAGGTAGAATGGTTAGAATAAGCAAAACTGATCTTTTCTCCTATCACAGTTTCCAGAACTTTTTAATCTTCAGGTTTACAGCTCTGTTGTTATGGTAATAAAGTCGTGGCCTGGTTATCTATATTAAACAAGCTGTCAGAGTACTCTCTCAAGTATGTCCTCCACAATAAAACAGGAATTGCTGCTACAGCAGACACAAAACTTCCTCCATGGCCTATCGGTGACAAAAACGGTTAATAAATAGAAGCACTGGTCTCTGGAAGGACTGCCATTTCTACAAAGCTCTTGGTTTCCACTGCCGAAGGACCTAGGAGATATAATTCATGTTCAAATTTGGTTCAATATTTATATTCATATAGCTTTTGCTTGAGGCCTTGTTCTTGTATGTTTACTCCAAACAACAGACACACACACGGGTAGTTAAAATAATAAGCATTCTATTTACCAATTTCTGAGACTTCAAAAATTCTTCAAAAGTGCCAGGAGGTCTTTGCATTTTCTGTCAACATACAAATATGAATTACTCTTACAGAAATACCTTATTGCATTAAAATGGAACTTGAAGTACTGTTCTAGTAAATAATTAAAGCAAACACTACAATGTATACAGTAGATCTCATTAGTTAGCACTAATAAATGAAAGAGCCATAGAGTGTAACCAGATTTTGAGAATTAAAAAATAGGAGTAAATGTGGAAACAAGAAAGGGCACTGCATCACAAAAATGTAGTTTCTGGTATATTTTGACTAATTTGAAATGTTTATAAACTAGCACATTTACCCAGCATTGCTGGGTTTGTTGACTCGATTTTTTAAATAAAAGGAAAATATACATGCTTTATTTAAATTATAGTATTTTTCAATACAGTGTTATGTTGATGAAATTGTATTTCTGATTTCTGAAAAAACCGGTGTGTTAAAATTTTTCCATTTGTTTTACAATTTTTTAAAAAATGGGAATTCCATTACGTGTATTGTTTTTCTTAATCCCTATAAACTCTTATAATTTGCTATATTTTAACAAAAAAAGGGCCATAGTCAGTGTGGTTGCAGAAAATTGTGCACTTTTCCTTCATTCCCTGACAGTGACCAAGGAGCAACTTTCCTGTATAAATCTGGGGAAGAGGGAAGCTCCTCTGGCCCTGCCTGAAGAGCACGTTGGAGGTGAGAAGCTTGAGGCTAGAGCAGTCCCAGATGGGGGAGCATCCCCATAGACAGTCCCTTTCACCTCCCTGGTGATTCTGTCTCTTTTCTGTTTAATTTTATGAAAGTAATCCTATTCCAAGCGCATTCTATTTTCCTGGGACAACTACATTTATTAATAGATATATTTTGTAAATGTAGTAAAGTCTTATTAGTGTGATAGTCTGTATTGATCTTAACAGTTCAATTTTACATAGACGTGGAAATAAGTATCAGGTTTTCACATTAGCAACTAGGGCCACTGAAATCAGCCCCTTGACATTTTCTGAGTTTTGGGCAATCAAAATCTCAACCATAATTTTTGAAAAGTCTGGGCAGAAAACTAGCCTGCTTCCATTGATGCGCCACTCAGTTGATGCAGCCATTCAAAACTACTAAGGTGTTTTACAAGTGGTTTTCAATGTGAGTCAACAAGCTTCAGACAGTAATAATGTTGAGCTAAGCTATTTTAGTAATCTTCATATCAATGCTAAATACAAGTTTTTGATCTACTAACAACAGACTATTGTTGCATATATAATGTAAAAGTAATACTGAATTACAGGAATTAGTGCTCCCTGGCTGTGGTTATGCATGGCCACTTGATGGCACTGTGGGAGCACTATGGCTTTTGATGGTTCTCTGCAGACTTAGGTTCTTCTGATCCTTGGTACCAGGTCAGGGGCATGGACATAGACAGTGGGATTCCAGGAGCACTCCTTGGGACGATAGTCCTCCCAATCAATTAGGCAGCACAGTCTCCCTCTGTGCAGTTTAGACTCAGGGATAGACTGGCCTATATATTCTTTGTGCCCTTGGACCTTGATTGGCAGGGCAGCTGATGGGATGGATCTAGAAAGTGGTACTCTATGTAAAAGTGGTATTCTCTGTAAAGGAGGGATATATGGGGAAAGAATATATTGCTTAAGACATCACTGGTGCTGCAGTTTAAAGGTGACAGGATTGATTTGCTGAGAAATCTGAAAAGATCCAAGAAACTGGTAGTCTAGCTTACAGAAGGGCTTTGTAGTCCCTTTTTGCATTTTCAAGATGGTCCTTAAGCTCCTCCTGGATGGGGTGAATTTGCAGGATCCAGTCAGCAGCTGCAAATTAAATAGGTAGCAGGTTTAAAACAAGGAAAAGGAAATTTGTCTTAATGCAGTGCACAGTCAACATGTGGAACTCCTTGCCAGAGGATGTTGAGAAAACAAGCTCTTTAACAGGGTTCAAAAAAGAACTAGATACATTCATGGAGGTTAGGTCCATCAATACTTATTTAGACAGAATGGGTAGGAATTGTGGCCCTAGCCTCTAGTTGTCAGAGGTTTTAGGAAATGGATGACAGGAGAAGGGTCACTTGATAATTACCTGTTCTGTTCACTCCCTCCGGGGCATCTGGCATTGGTTGCTGTCAGAAGACAGGATAGTAGGCTAGATGAACCTTTGGTCTGCCCCAATATAACCGTTCTTATGTTCAGGGGGGCCGATGACAAGGCAAGTTGAGAGCAAGGGTGGAACCCATAATTATCAAAGAAGGGACATTGCCAGTAATGTATTAGAACTCAGCCTAAGGAAGGAGGGAGAATTAGTTGTCTTGATGTCAGTTGACAAAGGACTTTAGGTATTGCTTTGATACGCGGTTCATGATCTCCATCTGCCCATCTGTTTGGTGGTGGTATGTGAAGGAGGTAAAACACAAACATTCATTAGCTGGAGGATTTCATGTCACAAAAGTGAGACTAACTGCAGGCCCTGGTCTGAGATGAACCAATATGAGATCTGATGTATTTAGCAGAGGGTATGCTGTTATAGGGGATAGTGTACTATTTTGGTCAGTCTGTCTACAACAGTCAAGACCATGGTGTGGCCGTCAGAGTAAGGGAGTTCCACTCTCTAGGGTGATTGAGGCCCAGGCTCTAGGAAAGATCTCCAGGGCTAGTAGGACACCAAAGGGCTTAGATCACATAAGAAGAATGCCAGAACAAAGGAGAAGCTGTGCCAAAAGCCTTAATGTGGCCAAAGTGTTCTCATGGCAGAGATGGAGCTCTTCTTGCCAGTAACCTTGGTGGGACATATATATGCCCATGAAGGCAGGTGCAGTCATAGCAGGTGTGGTGCATAGCACTTTGGTTTTGGACCTCATATGATTGGGCTGTACTTTTATCTCCTGGACTAACAGATGCAGAATAGATTAGATCAAGGAGGTCTCTTGGCATATTATGACAGCTGGGGCCATCGCCTGCCCAGGGGCAGCTCCGGCTCCATGGCCAAATAAAAGGTGAAAAGCAGAAAAAAACCCAGAAAATAAACTGCTGTGGTGGCCGAGGAAGCAGGGCAACCAGAGCAAGCACTGCAGCAGCTTTTCTTTCCCTCTAGGAGATAGGCAAGCCAGAAGCAGGAGCAGAGCAATGGCTGTCCAGGGGAATCCCTTTAAGTACGCGTCTCTGCAAAGGGCAGGCAGCAGCACCTGGAAATAAAGGCTGCCCCCATGCTCCACCAGAAGCATTTCCGAGTGCCTTCTTTTGTCGACAGAGCGTCCGGCAGTCTGGACGCTCTTTTTCGAAAAAGCAGATTGATTTTTCGATCTGCATAATGTAATCTAGACACTCTTTTTCGACAGAGGCTTTGTTGACAGATACTGTCGACAAAGCCTCTGTTGAAAAAGGTGTGAAGTCTAGACATAGCCTCAGAGACTAGATGTATTACCAAGCTGGAATCAGGGTCAGCATGAGGCTCGAGACAGAGACTAGAGATCAGAAGTACTACCAGGCAAGAGTTACGCTAGAGTCAGAAAACAGAAATACTACTAGTTTGTAGCAAGGCTGGGCTCACAGGCTAGAGATGAGGTACGTCTACACTACAGGCTTTTGTTGACAGAGGCTTGGTGCGTCTAGACTACATCCAGTTCTGTTGACAAAGCAAGCCGCTTTGTCGACATGAGAGTGTAGATGCAAAGGACAGTGTAGATGCAATAATTCCTTTTGTCGACAGAACTCTGTCGAAAAAAGGCGTTATTCCTTTTAAATATCCCCCGCGGCATTTAAATAAAAATGTCCGCCGCTTTTTTCCGGCTTTTAAAAAAGCCGGAAAAGAGCGTCTACACTGGCCCCGATCCTCCGGAAAAAGCGCCCTTTTCCGGAGGGTCTTATTCCTACTTCAAAAAATTAAAATTCAGATTTAAATAAAAACCTGATTTAAAAAAAAATCTGATGTTTTTGATTTTTTTTAAATCATCAATTTTTATCCACACTGGTTTCAAGACTGCCTAAATCCCATTTTCAAACTATCCTTAGTCATTTAGATGCCTAAGTCTCACTGAAAGTAGGAATAAGAGCCTCCGGAAAAGGGCGCTTTTTCCGGAGGATCGGGGCCAGTGTAGACGCTCTTTTCCGGCTTTTTTAAAAGCCGGAAAAAAGCGGCGGACATTTTTATTTAAATGCCGCGGGGGATATTTAAATCCCCCGCGGATTTCCCTACGACGACTCGTGAAATTTACATGCCCCTTCCGGAAAAGGGGCCAGTGTAGACGTAGCCCCAATGTGAAGTCTGTAGTCACAGAAAGCTGAGGTCTATGTAGTTGTCCAGACAACTTCATTGGCCAGATTTTAAGGTAAAAAAAATAAGTCAGTTGTACCCCTTTCAGGACTCTGATATGTCTTGTGCACCCAAGTTACACATCACTAAAAATTACTTGCTTACAAAATCAGATATAAAAATACAAAATTGTCACAGCACACTATTACTTAAAACTGCTTACTTTTTCATTTTTATCATACAATTATAAAATAAATCTATTTGAATATATATATATGCACGTATAGTACTGAGATTTAAGTGTATAATATATAGTGCAATATAAACAAGTCATCTCTGTAAGAAATGTTAGTTTGAACTGACTTTGCTAGTGTTTTTATGTAGCCTGCTGTAAAACTAGGTAAATATCTAGATGAGTGGATGTACCCTCTTAGGAGATATATACTCATGGTAGAGTGACTGAAATAGAGCACTTTACCAACCAGAGGTACTGTCACTCTGGGTCTGTTGGACAGTGTTTCCTGTGGCACTTACTTTCCCAAAGTGCTCTCCAGCTGTGACTCTTCATGGCCTCTTAATGGCTTTGTGGGACTATCAGCTGTCCCAGACTCCCCAGTTCCTTACAATGCCAATTTTTTAATGTTTCAAATCACTGTACAAAGCAGACTGCAAAGGTGTTAATTTCAAATACTTTTAATCTCACATGAAGCGCTGAACTCTGGCAACTCCGAAAAAGCGCTTCTTAGTATCAAACACGTGAAAATATTATTTCAATAAAATAGTAGATAGTATCATTTAGTAAATTCTGATGTGACAATATTTCAGTAATAAACATCTGTGGGCTATTATAGAATAAGGTGCTGTCCTGTTCATATAAACAAAAGCTTTTTCCACTTAAAATGTCAGAAACTGTATTGTCCATCACTTTACAATCTACCGTGACAGCCAATAGAGTGACAGTGAAATAATCTAATTCTTGTGAAATGTAGCCTCTTATTTTTTACTGAAGCATATTACAGTAAACAAGAAAACATGCCAACAAGAAAACATGTCAAGCCAAAATCAACAATAAGATCTAGTTAAATATTGCTCTGAGTTATTTCCATGCAATTTCATTGAAGTCAGTGGGGTATCATCAGTGTAACGAAGATCAATATTGGCATAATATCTGCCTATAATGTCAGCATTTCTCCTAATAATACTATCTACAATATCACTATGAATAATACATACCAGACTACTCCTTTACTATGTTCCACTGAATCAAGAAAAAAATCTGCTGCATCCCAAAATCATTTTAGGCCTAGTCATTTTGATCTAAAAACACAATTGCTAAATAGTTATGTATAGTAATTGTTTGGGTACAAAAGACTCCAACCAATAAGTGACTAAATATACATTAAACCATTTGGAATTCATTTTAGTAATGTGGCATTATTTAGTATACTAAATCTTAAAGCATAATCTGTCAACCATGCAAAACTGCTGAAAACAAATTTGTTTCCAAATCTAAAACAAGTATTTTTTTCTTAAGGGAATCCAAATTTGGTAGAAATGCGTGAAAAAATGTAAATGTCATGACAAGTCACATACTTATCATATTTCATTTGAAATATTGGAAACTTCTGCATATAAGTCTGTATGCTCCAATTGAAGTTGAGTGACCACTGTACAAAAAAGACAAAAGCCTGAAGCATTACTAAGCGTACTAAAGTATATTAATAAATACATTTTCTATAATACCTTTTATTCAAAGTTATCACAGTATTTTCATATCATTAATTCATTAAGCATAACTACAAGTTACTGACACAGGCAAGGTTATCTCCTAATAATTTTCTTTAGCAGTAAAATGCAGCTAGCCATATTTAACTAGAACTCGCGTTTGATTTACCAACACATTTTAATACAATACAATAGCATAAGGTAATAGTAATAATAATAATAATCTCATATCTATAGTAAAATCTTTGTCAATGCTATACAATGGAATTAAAAATAAACATAATAAAATACCATCCTCTTAAAAAAATAAAAAGGCAATTTTAATTTAGAACATTAATTTAACATAAGAACAACCATACTGGGTCAGACCAAATGTCCATAAAGCCCAGTATCCTGTCTCATGACAGTAGCCAATGCCAGGTGCCCCAGAGGGAATGAACAAAACAGTTGATCATCAATTGATCCATCTGCTGTCACCCATTCCCAGCCTCTGACAAACAGAGGCTAGAGACTACCCATCCTGGCTAATAAGCATTGATGGACCTACCCTCCATGAATTAATATCTAGTTCTTTTTTAAACCCTGTTAAAGTCTTTGTCTTTACAACATCCTCTGGCAATGAGTTCCACAGGTTAACTGTGCATTCTGTGAAGAAATAATTCCTTTTGTTTGTTTTCAACCTGCTATCTATTTATTTCATTTGGTTGCCCCTAGTTCTTATGTTTACTCCTTTCTCCAGATCATTTATGAATATGTTAAATAGGATTGGTCCTAGTATTGAGAGCTGCGGGACACCACTGGTTACCTCTATTCTTAAAACTGAAGGGTAGGAAGGGTAAAGTGAAAGGTTGGAAGAAAAGCTGAAAATATAGGATCAACACTTATTATTCTAAAGACATTTTTGAAAATGTTTTAAGATGTTTTGAAAAGTAAAAGACAAAATGAGATGTGTTTCAGGTGGCAGTGTTCAACACTTCACAGCTAACTGCTGCAAAATTCAGCAGAATTACTCTGAATTTACACTGCTATAACTAGAGCAAAATTTGGTCCATTGTCCTTTTTAACATCTTTCTAAGCTATACTGGAAGATGTGTGGGTGATCAGAACATCTATTTCCTTTAAGTTTAATCAAAGTATAGTTTAGTGTGCAAAATTAATGTGAAGCACTATGTCTCAGAAGTATGACCATTCTTTATTCTAAATACTATGCAATATACAAGATTGTCCTTGCCATTTATGTAGAAAAGTATAACTGGTCTACCAAAACCCTGCTAGTCATTTCTATCAACAGTATTTGTTCAGTGTTATTGTAAAGAATGAGAAACATGGTGGCTTATGAATCTTATTTTGTTGCAAGAGCTTTACTTTTCTATTAGTGCTGATAATAAGCATATTTTCATCTAGACAGCTTTTTTCCCCCTAGCTCCTGATTTCCAATAATCGTAGAAAACCTGTTATCCCCACTAAGTCTTGCAGTACCACAAAAAGAATGCTGAACCTAGTGGAAAAAAGATGGTAAACAATGATGGGGAAAATCTTTACTGATAAATAAAATGTAAAAAGCACTTTCATATGGCTTGGATCAAATCCGATATCATAGGAATGTAAAATGTATCTTTCAAAATCTCTTTTTTGTTATTTTCCCTCAGCCCCTATCTGTGACACCAAACACGACAAACACTTATTTTACTATTCGAGATGGTATTTTGGAGCTACCAGAGAAACATACCCTGCTTTCAGCAGCACTACGCTGCGTTTTTTAATAGACCCTAAAATGTGTTGGTTATTTTCCTATTGTCGAGCTTTGCACCAGTATTCTTTAGTGCCTGTTTCAACTTTTTTTCCTTCCTCGGTTGTTGAACCTTGGAAACAACGAGGAGAAATATCCTTGGAAATGGTCCAGTGTGTAACCAACCAAGATCCCCTTGCACCCTCCTTTGCGTGATGCAGGGCCACTTCAGAGACGGGGTGCACGAGTGTCCTACTAGGGATGTCCAGAAAGGGGGACGGGGCGAAACCGACTCCTCGAACAGCTGCCTTACCTCCCCTTCGGTTCAAAGCCAGGCTTGTCTCAGCCCCGCATATATGTCCAGTCTGTGTGGGGCGGAGACGCAGAAGTTAGGGGGACAGCGACCCCTCCTTTTCGCTGTCTTTACCCTCAAGAACCCCGCATGGAGCTGCGCACCCTCAGTACCTTCCCCAGTAGCGAACAGCAACAGCAGCAACAGCTCTGGCCTGCGTGCACCGTTACTAAGGTCCCCTAGCAACCGCGCGTCTCCTAAAAAGCGTCCCCCCGGGTACATTCTTCCGGTATCCTGCGTCCCGGGAGGCCGAGGCTGGGCTACTAGGTTCCGGTACCGGACAAGACCCGGAGCTGCTGCTTTGGTGAGGTAGGTAGGACTCGGATCAGCAGGTGTTGCTTTTATCGCTGGAACTGACCGAGTGGCTGAGGAGGGGGCTGTTGTGATTCACCGGACGCGTGGGGAAAGGTGGGGGGTGGATCAAAGTCAAGCCTGGCTGGATGCCTCCAAGTAAACGTCTCCCCTCTGTGGAGGGCTGGGCCTGGGCACTTGCAGCGCTTCCTCGCCCGGGGACGCCTGATTCCCGGGCCCCGCCCTTCGAGCAGGGATGATAGGGGCGGGCGCGCGGGGCGTGTTCACGGAGAGAGTTGCCTGCAGAAAGGGCCCTGTGGGCAGATGAAGGCCCCGTGGGTAGATGGGATTTGGCTGGGGCGGCAGTAGCTGCCACTGCCTGAGATGAAAGCAGTGGAGGCCCCGCTGCCACTTTTGATATTCTCCGACGCCTATGTGAGCAGTTACCCCATTTAGATGCGGGGTCCATTCGGTTTTGATGTCCACATGGAAGTCTGTAAGGAACTAGTGGGGATGAGAACATTTGCCCCATTCAGATGTATGCAGAGGAAGCTTTTATTGGGGCGAGAGGGCTGCCCGATTTTGTTTAGGAAAAGCCCTTCATCACTTTTTTTCAGGAGAAGCCTTGGTAATATGGGCCAGGAGGATATGCTTGTTTCACAGGCTGATGGTACAGACCTGTAACTTTAGTATTAATGGACGTTGAGGGAATTCACAGCATTTTTGTGGCGAGACTCCCCACTTTCAAGATTTTGTCTTAACAGTACCTGGGGCCCAAGGGTAGAAATTAGTGAGCAAGGCAGTCACTTTGAACAGTTTGATTGAAGTTGACTGAAAATGATCAGTATGCTTTTCAGTGTTTCACTGAAGCAGACAGAGCAATTTTCCTTCCTGAGTGAGACATTAAAATGGCTTAAAATTCATCCAGATGAGAGAGTCCACATAAGCAAGACTTCTCTGCTCTGCCTGGAGGTTACTCTGCAGATGGAATCGTTATTCATTATGGGTGTATCTAGACTACAGGGTTTTGTCAACAAAAGTGGACTTTTTTCGGTAAAACTATACCTGCGTCTACACTACCACTGAGTTATGATGACAGTAAGGCGACAGAACATGGCAGTTTTGTTGACGGCGGTAAACCTCATTCTACAAGGAATAACACCTTTTTTCGACAGAGTTATGTCGAAAAAAGGCACTCTTGCATCCACACTGCTTTTTCAAAAGAGAGCATATAGACTTTCTGTTGAAAAAGCAGCTTGCTTTGTCAACAGAACTGGCTGTAGTCTAGACGCTCTTTATTGACAGAGGCCTGTAGTCTAGATGTACCCTTAGATGTGATTTGCAGTCGGAATCAAGCTCTCAGTCTTACAGAGTGTGAAAATTGTCTTACTGTTGTGTTTGCAAAAATATATTGTGTGTGTATGTGTGTCACTATTATTTTGAGACCACAGAGGTTTTCCTTTTCCGCTAACAGCAGCATTTCTTCTGTCAGCATCAATGATAAAAGTGCTTTGGGGCTTCATAATTGAACACCGCACTGCCATAAAGCATTATATTGAAGAAAATCAGTTTGCAGGCTGGGAATGCATATCAAATCAAAGGGCCTCCTGGCCTCTTTCCTCCTTGAAGAATCTGTATGGTTAGAGGCATTAATCCAGGCTTGACAACTGTCATCAGGGCAATTTAATTCTTCCCCCCCACTTCCTGCCCCCTGATTCTTTTCAGTATTTAATTCAGAACAAACTTGGACTGTAAAAGGCATGCATGTGGTGGGGAGAGGCTTTATTTCCTTTAAAGCCTTGGAATGCGGAAAAACACTTTTTCATGACCTGTATGAGGCCTTCATTTTAGCAGGAGATGATGGCTCTTTTCCTGCAATATATTCTAAATTTATATTGGGGAGAGGTATCATATTTTTACTTAGTTCTCTTTGTATTTTTTAGTATATTGTGTTGCATCACATCATAAATGTAGTCTGTGTCAAAAGAAAATAGGAGATGCAGCACAGAAAACAATGGGAATTGAGATAAGAGTCTAGAGCAAACTCTGAAGCCTGTAGGCAGAGGAAGGAAGGCCCCTTGGGCAGTTGTTCTCAAATATTTTGGTCCACGGCCCACCCCGATCAATACAGACCTTTCTGTGGACCAGTAGCCAACAACTCATGATGACAAAATGGGTGCAGGAGGGGTGGGAATGTGGGGACAGTCCTTGAAGTAGGGTGCAGGCACAGGCAGGGAGATTTCGGTGGGAGGGTGGGGACAGGTGTGGGATGTGTGTTCTGGGAGGGAAGTGCAGGGTCTCAACAGGAGGTGAACGCATGATGGGAAAGGGGACATGGGGTCTGGGCATGAGGGGAATGAGGACACTTACCTGGCTCCATGTCTCCAGGCACAGCCACCACTGCTCCCATTGCCTGTGATTCCCACCAATGGGAGCAGTGGGGAAAGCCTCCAGGTGAGTGGTTTCCTGCACTGCTATTCCCCCCAGCCCAGGGGAGGGGAAGCGGTAGTCTATGGAGCCACTTCCTTCCCCTGCAAGCTGTACCCGAGGCTCCTTGTATCCCTGCAGTAGAAAGCTGGTGGTGGTACTCCAACCTTGCAGGGAGGGCCAGACTGGAGCACCAGGACCAGGCTACCTGCTGCAAGGGGGACGAGCCCCAAGCCCTGAGACCGCCTACAAGACAGTTGAGGTCCAGTAGCAGCCCACAGGCCACACTTCAAGAACCACTGTCCTAGGGTAACTTAAATAGTTTTGGAAATCTGTCTAGTCTACCCTAACTACCCTAGTAATGTGTGTTGCAACTCATCTAGACCAAGTTCTCGGGTGCTTTATTAGGCTGTGCCTACCCTGGAGGAATTCTCTCCCAGTTGAATACAGGGCTTTTAAATGCCAACCTTTTCATGTGGTGTAAAGAAGCCCAGTATTCTATGTTTTGTTTTTGACATCTGGAATGAACAGTCTACCATTCTTGCATTAATATTCTATTCTTCTCCTTAAAACAGACCTGTTAAGTTTAACCCCAAAATGCTTTAATTAGCATCTCTATCACTGCTGTAGGACAAATGTAGTCCTCCTTTCCCGCCCCTTCCCCCCAAAAAACCCTATAGAAGTTAATGTGAAAATATTGAGATTTTGGGTGACTAAAGTTTACGTAAAATAAATAAGTAGCTGATTTTCAATTTAGGTGTTCAACTTTAGGCACTCAAGCTTGAAAATGTTACCTTAATATTTTGTCATTTTTCTCTGAGCCTGCTCCTTATTGCCTGTTAGAAAACCACTGTTCCCTCACAGAATCTTATGCTTATCAGTGAGGTAGGCATAGGGGTCTGTTGTCATCTAATGAATTGCAGGGTGGGATGCTAAAATTGTATACTTCTGTTTGCAAACAAACAACTAACACACTTATCTTAATTCATATAATTACGCTTTTGGGAATTAACTACTCGTCAGTAAATTTAAGCGCGTACTGAAGTATTAAATGCAAGATTGGGACCTAAGTGTTTGCAAAATCTGAAAGTTTGTAGCTTGAATTTACAAATATGTATGTTTGTTATTTATTGCATGAGTAAAGTGAATGAGACAACTAATCTGAGTAAAAATGATGCATGTGCATGTTTGCATAGTCAAGGCCTAAGTCTTCAAGTTCTTTGAGTCAAGGACCATATTATAATCTGTGTTTCTGTAGCATCTTGCCCAGAGGAGTCTGCCTCCAGATGTTTAAAAAAGAAAACTTCTTTGGGATTAATTTGATCTTATCTAGTTGATTTCTGCTGTGATAAGTAATAACAAGACACTGTTTATTAAATAGGGTGATCATGTGATAACATTTTTTTTTAGAAATTACACTATAGACTATCAGATACATCATTTTTCTTTAACAGATTCAGCATATTGACTGTTTAAAGTAAGATGTCTTTAAATACATCTTCATTTTTGAATCAAGAAAGCCATCAGAAATCAAAAAGAAATTTTGAATGTCTGAAAAATTCACAACAGACTACTTTACTTCAAGATAACCCACTTCAAAATTTACAGTTAGCATCCTGGGAAGTTCTTGAAAAAGCCCAAAAGAGTGGGAGATCAAAGTGCCCAAGATGTGGAAGTTCAAGGATGTTTTATTGTTATTCATGTTATGTTCCAGTTGAAACTGTGCCTACCAAAGAAATTCCAGTTGTGAAGGTTGGTGAAACATGATTATTGTGCTTATTTGGGGGTGTTAGGGAGGTTAATACATTGCCAATGTTCTCTTTTTCTAGTATCCGAGAGGTAGCTGTGTTAGTCTGAATCTGCAAAAGCGGCGAGGAGTCCTGTGGCACCTTATAGACCAACCGAAGTATTGGAGCATAAGCTTTCGTGGGCAAAGACCCACTTCGTCAGATGCATCTGACACAGTGGGTCTTTGCCCGCAAAAGCTAATGCTCCAACACTTCGGTTGGTCTATAAGGTGCCACAGGACTCCTCGCCGCTCTTTTTCTAGGTCATCTTTAATACTGTGGTCATGAGAGATGAATTACCATGGCCACGATAGATGAATAAATAATGACCAAATAGGGTTAGCAGTCTGGTTTAAGGAGCCAGATGTAAGTAAATTGATAATTACGGTTTCAGTTTTGCAGATAATATGCACATTCTCAACTTCACATATATGAGGAGTGCCACTGAAGTCAGTATGCAGTTAGTGAGCAAATAAGATTAGGGCTAATTTTTTAAACTTTTTCTTAAATCATGCTTACCAGAGTTCTACCAGTGGCATAGGCATTTTGAAATTAAAATTAGATGTTTTACTAAAAGATATATTCTGGGAATTATTTTGGGGATGTTCTATGGCTTATATAGGAGGACTGTCACAATTGTTTACTTTTAGCCTTGGAATCTCCAATCTATAGTGAGATGTTCCATTAACCAATGCTGTGGAGCTGCACCCAATTAAACAATGGCTGAATATGACCCAAAAATGTGAACTAAAAAAAGAAAAACAAAAAATGCTCATAGTTATACAACTGAAGTTCACTATTTTCTTTAAAATCAAAATCTATGGTTTTCCAGTTGGGATAGTGAGTAAAGCTTTCAGAAGTGCCAGAGTCCTATTACAATAGCCATTTTGGAGCTTAAATGCCCAAAGGCCTTTTGAAAATGGGATTTTGGCTCTTAAGTAATTTAGGTGGTTTTGAGCTTCAGATTTGTGCTTGACATGGTTTTCCTTGAAATCAAAGCATTTTGTATTAATTTCAATGGATTGAATACTTAATACAAATAGGGATTCAGCATGGGACCATTGGGCTGCTAATCTTAAATGAGCAACTTTTTTCTTCTGTTATTAATGACTGAAAATTGATGATAAAAGTATCAATAGAGCCTTTTACTGTAGCAATGTTACAGAAAGCTAAGTGTTTACATTAACAGCTAAATTACTTATTATTAAAAGCAAGGAGTGCTATTTCCTGTCTGTTTATTAATCTTTGTTTTCTTTCTCTATTGTGCATTAAACAGTCTAGTTTTTAAGGAACCTCTGTTGAAATTAGCAATTTACATGATCCTATACCTAAAATTTAAAAACTTTTATATGAATTTACTAGCAGGCTGCACCCTATGCTTGCTAAGCTCACCAACCCTCCTCTCTCTGGCTTCTTTCACGGTCAGAGAACATGATGGCATCATTCTGGCGAGAGAGTATGATGACATCATTCTGCCACCTAGCAGGAAAAACTTTTTTATAGAGAAAGACTATATATTTGAAACAACGTTTTGTATGGTGATTTCCCTAGGATGTTCTGAATCATTTATGCCTAGAATTTGTTTTTGTCTGCTCTTTTTTTGTTGTAGCTTCCTTTGAAGATTGACATAATTAAACACCCAAATGAAACTGATGGCAAAAGCACTGCTGTACATGCTAAACTCCTAGCATCTGAAGATGTTACCATTTATACATATCCTTGCATACCAGAATATGAAGGAAAAAAACATGAAGTAAGAATTTCTGCAAGCATGTGGTGTGCTGGCAAAGTGTTTATGTGCCTTTCATCTCCCATCTCCAGCTGATATTACACTTCCTCTTTGCAGGGGGAATGCAGATCCAACAACTCTGCCACTATTCCTCCATGGATCCATTTCACACCATCCACAGAACATCCTTGTAGTAGGGATGTAAGCGAAAAGTTGAGTCACTACTTGACTACTCACTTTCCCTCCCCACCTTGCTGTCTCTGTATCAGAGGCAGCAAGGGGGTGAGGAGTAGGAGCCAGTGCTAGGGAGAGCCAACTTTGGTTCCCTCCCAGCACCATCTCCACAGGTGGGGAGGCAGGTGAGACAGAGGTGCAGCAGGGGACCTGGTGCTAGCCGGAACTGTTTCAGTCCCAGCTTGTGCCGGGTCCCCAACTGTTGGTGCCTCTGCTTTTTAAATGTAGTAAGAGTCATCTGGCTCTTACTACATTTAAAAGACAGAACCGCAGCAGGAGACCTGGGGCGAGCTGGGAGTGCGACAGGCAGCTCTTACAATATTTAAAAAGCAGAGGCTCAGTGGTCTCAGAGCCAGCATAAGCCGTGATTGCTCAGTCCTGGCTTGTACTGCCCCCAGGAGCTAACCTCGCTGCAGCTCTGCAGTTTAAATGTATTGGGAGCCAGGCTGCCTGCATGCCCAGCTCCTGCTACATTTAAACTGCAGAGCTGCAGCAGGGGTAGTGAGTGCCCCTCTTATTGATTAATCGAGTAGTCGATGGAAATGCCATCAATTACTTGATTAGCTAATTAAATGCCATTTAACATTCCTACTCTGTAGTGCATAGGGATGGGGATATCCTGCTAGACTCATGGAAATCTGCCTCCACATGCAGCCTAAACACACTGATTCTGTTGTTTCCATCGTCCTCTTCACCTACAGAGGGGAGAGAGGATTTGGTGCATTGTGCTTTGTAATGAGTATTTTATTTACTGCAAAGAGCAGAAATCTCAAACATCAAGGCCACTGACCATTTTACCCTGTTTGACGGACTTATACGTTCTGCTTGCCATATTCATCTGCTGCAGGATCTAGTCTTTTATTTTGTAAAAAGTAAATTTCTGTATTTTCTGGTGCAGGGAAAGCCTACCAAACATAATTGATACATATTGTCTTCCTGAGTCAGCATGGAGCCTGAAATAATGACTGCAAGGAATAATTTCCTAGTCCTCAATTTCACTGCAGTGAAAATTCTGAAACCTGACTAATTTGTAATGTCACCATTAACAAATGGGAAAGGAAAGGAAATGAATGAAGTTCATGGGTATTGGAATTTGTATTTGCTGTAGGGAAGGAATGGTCAAGGATAGAACTAGGGACAGCGAAGAGGAACGAAGGAAGGAGAATGGGGAAGACAGGAACAAAAAAAAAATACTGCTGAATGTAAAGGTGGTCATAATTTCCTATTAGAATGCTGAATGTAATAAGAACTGTATTTATGGCATATAGGCCATTTTATACTGTTCTTTTGTGTGACCTACATCTACTGCAGAGCTCCCCCAGATGTTGATTTGATCTAATCATCACTTTTGGCCGTAAAGGTTATAAACGAATTGAGGATAATGAGTAGCCCTATATTTATACTCTAGTCCATAGATCAAAATGGAAAATGGTCGTCATCTTAGTATAATATTGGGGCCCTGTTGCAGAAAAATAGATTAGTGTAAACACCTGCATAGTACCTTCTTGTACAGAAAATATTGGCTTGGTAGGACAACACTTTAAGTTTAACATGTATAAGGTAATACATATGTAGGCTTGGCAGAATTTGGTTTCCTTTATATAATATTGGTGTATTTAAGCATTATATTAGTTTGTGTTCACAGTTGCACAAAATTTGGGGGGTTTTAAGCATTCTCAATGTTTATCATGGTTATTGTTTTGTTGGGTTTTTTTTACATTTTTAGTGGCAGGAAACTATGGGAATGTCAGACAGTTATTTAATGATAATCTGTAAGAAGTTCTTAAGCAACATTTTTCTTTCTTTGCCTATTTGTAAATTTCAATTATTGGTGGTGTGAATATTTTTTAGTCTCTTGGGCATGTCTGGTGAAATTGATATTTTCTATGAAAAAGCTAATTCTTCCAAGCCTGTACATATTTAATGAAACTCCCATAAATAACTAATTTAAACAAATCCCTTGCCTTAATTTAGTTTTCCTTTTACCCTGTCTCTCTTCTGACCTAAAGAGAAGTTCACTCTCATCTTGTATGGGTTTAAATGGTTTGATGTTTGGGTGGTGGTGTTCTAAGGAATCGGATTTTTTTTTTACTAGAAAAGTTCTGAACATTTTATGAGAAACTAATTTTCTATCAAAATGACACTAAGATATCTGTGTCTTTTCATTTTAGATTGCACTTGTCTTTCCTGGTCCTAACTCAGTTTTGGTAAAAGATATTACTCTCCATTTGCAAAAAAATGTTGAAAAAGTTAGTTGCGACGATAATGATGATTCTTCAGCAGAGCCATTACTCAAGAAAGCAAAAATAGAAACAAAAGAAGACAGAAAGTTAGGTGAATGCAAATTAAATATTAGGAGTGAAGACACTGTACTGAAGAAAGTAATATTTATTGACAGCACTTGGAATCAAACCAACAAAATAATCACTGATGAGCGACTTCAAGGTAAATAAATAAAAGGGGGGCATACAGCTGCAATAAAGTGGCTAAATGTAATATGTGTATTTCTTTCTAAATGCAGAAAACCTGATTGGATACCATAGCAATAAGCAGGATAGAATTACCTTCATGAAAGTATATCTGAACATGCATCCAGGGTTCAATTATATAACTTAACATGTAGAAATCTGAAGAGTACGGACGCGCACACACACACACACACACACACACCCTCTTCCTGTTTTTACAAAACTTTTTTTCCTGGAAATATCAATAATGCCATCAGTGGAAAATGTAGTCTGAATATTGCTGTCTTTATTATGAATTAGCTCAGTGTACCTGTTGTTCTGCACAGCCTGAATTTTGTTATATTGATTAGAAGGATAATATATTTATTTATTCCACCGAGAATTACAATGGGTAACAACAATTTGACAGTTTTATACTTGTGCTATGTAAGCTTAATCCTGCTCTCATTAAAATCAATGGCAAGACTTCATGGGAGTAAGAGCAAGCCCTTAGGTTACAAGGCCTATTTTCTTCATTTCTACTCTGTGTATTAGTTGGCAAGTATATTAGCAAATATGTATTTCTCAGTTTAATTTTTACCGGTTTATAGAATAAGTATCACAGGTTTCCTGCTTAGAAGATGAATGCTGCTTTGTTGCCTCATTATCCCATTAAAAATACTACAGAGAAGCATAATTTATTAGCCAATCAAATCCTGTTACCAATTTTACATAAAAAGATCTGTTCTCAAATAAATTGATATTCACTACAGTGATGTATTGCTTTATTGCATGATATAAATATGAACTGGTTTAAAATTAAGACACTTAAAAATCCTGTTCACAAAAGATGAAATTCAGGAAACCACCTTGGGATTTATATGGGTGTCTTTTTCATGACTAAGGAGAGAAAATCCATCCCTTCCCTCTATAGCAGTGGTTCCACGAAATGCTAACTGCTGGGCTGCGGCGACTATGGGGGTCAGAGCGGGGGTACACCACCCAGTTCCTCCCCTCCCACTGTGACTTCTGGGAGAGGCATGTTCTGCCCCATCTCTCAACCCACCAACACCGGGCGGGGGGGGGGGCGGGGT